TGATTGGGGGGTGGGAGGGAGGGGAGGGTGGGTGATGGGTATTGAGGAGAGCACCTTTTGGGATGAGCACTGGGTGTTGTATGGAAACCAATTTGACAATTTCAAATTAAGAAGAAAAGATGCTCAAAATCACTTATCATCAGGGAAATGCAAATCAAAACCATGATGAGATACCACCCCACACCTGTCAGAATGGCTAAAATTAACCACTGAGGCAGCAATAAATGTTGGTGAGGATGTGAAGAAAGGGGAACCCTCTTGCACTGTTGGTGGGAATGCAAACTGGTGCAGGCACTCTGAGGAACAGTACAGACATTCCTCAAAAAGTTACAAATAGAACTACACAACAATTCAGCAATTGCTCTGCCTGGTATTTACCCAAAGGATAAAAAAATACAGATTTGAAGGGGCACAGGCACCCCAGTATTTAGAGCAGCATTATCAACACTAGCCAACTATGTAAACAGCACAAGTGTCCGTCAACTAATGAATGGAGAAAGAAGTGATATTTATATATAATGAAATATTACTCAGGAATCAAAAAGAAAGAAATCTTGTTATTTGCAACGACATGGATGGAGCTAGAGAGTGTAATGCTAAGTGAAATAAGCCAGTCTAAGAAAGACAAATACCATATGATTTCATTCATATGTGGAATTTAAGAAACAAAAAAAAAAAATGAATTTAAGGGGGGGAAAAAGAGAGGAAAACCAAGAAGCAGCCTCTTAACTATAGAGACCAACCTATTGGTTACCAGGGGGAGGTGGTGGGAAGGATGGATGAAATAGGAAAAGGGGATTAAGAAGACAATGATCCTGGGGCACCTGGGTGGCTCAATCGGTTAAGCGTCCGACTTCAGCTCAGGTCGTGATCTCGCAGTCTGAGTTCGAGCCCCGCGTCGGGCTCTGTGCTGACAGCTCACAGCCTGGAGCCTGCTTCAGATTCTGTGTCTCCCTCTCTCTCTGGCCCTCCTCCATTCACACTCTGTCTCTGTCTCTCTCTCGAGAATAAGTAAACATTAAAAGAAATTAAAAAAAAAAAAAGAATACAATGATCCTGCAGAGTGCTTAGTAATGTACGGAATTATTGAATTACTATATTATACACCTGGAATGCATATAAGAGTATATGCCAACTGTGCTGGTTTAATATTTAATAAAAAAGAAACTCTTATAATATAAATAATGATTATATTCTCTATATATGATTTTATAATTCATAAAATGTGTTATACACAAAATAAAAATAAGTGAAAATAAATATAGTAAAATCCTAGCAAGTGATTTTAGGGTATATCTAAGCTGGTGCTCAATGCAATTTCAGTTTTCTTTATTTTTCCAAAATCTTAGGTGGGCACATATTAAATTATTAATTGCAGAAATCAACTTATCCTCAAAATCTATTCTGTTGCAATCCCCCATCATTTCTACTAGCTCTGCCCTGGTGAATTCATGCCAACCTTAAACTTCAAGATGAAAATTTACATGTGTTGAATTTGTTTGATACAATTATTTAAGCTGCATATCCCTAGCAGGTGTAGTCTAAACACCTGCATACAAATTTCAAGGAACAATAGGAACACTTCTTTCCATAAACACGAAGTGTGGGCTCACTCTTTGACCATGAGACCATTTAACGGA